TGCTCTCTCTTCCTCTTCTAAATTGCTTTTACTGTTGCCCAGCGTACTTGTGGACAGTTTCCTCTGAAAAGTGATAAGAACTTATTCCACAGCAGTTGAGCATAAGGCTATCTGTAGTTGGTTTACATGAGACCTCTAGACATGAACATGTCTTTGTTAGATTAACACAGTCATTAGGAAGTTATCTGAAGGGTGAGAGTGACCAGAGAGGAAGTTTGATCCATGCCTCAGAATGGCATGAGATTTCATAAATCCTTCTCATGAATAAACTTTGCTATGACCAGTTGTGACTGACCAATAAAGCCCTGGAATGGAAGAAAGCACAGAGGAAACAGGCAGAGGTGACATGCCTGTGAAGCTCAGGCAATAACGTAGGGTGTGACTGACCACAGCTGTTGCAAAGAAGTTGACTTTATTTCAACACAAAGGGGACAGAGAATGTCTTTTGTTTTAGATAAACAGATATCAACAGTTGAGTGGATCAACTGATGGTGTAAATATTTCTTCTTGAGTTCTTTAAAAGAGTGTGAGTGTCTCTCCAAGTGATCCAGACCAGCATGAGGGGAGTGCGTGCATGGCTCAGGCCAACAGAGGGTATAAAACATACACAACTAACAAAAGAATTTTGAGGATACCGATGGGCTTGAGCTGGCTTCAACCTACATATTCCCTCTCAGTGACAAGGGATGCCCAGTGTCATGACAGTGAGAATATTATAGAAACCAGTAATGAGGATCACAAGAGTACTGTGACTGAACTGTGTATTGCAATTACTATATTTTCCTAAGCGTAACTTACATTCCTGTTGTCTTTGCAGTATATTTTGTATCACTCTTCTAAATCAGAAGCTCAAATATCTTCAGATAAGTAAATTTGTCATTAAACATCATACCCTCCACACATGAAATATCTAAAAGGTATTGGACTCTGACACCAATCAATGCCTGTCCAGGAGAAATAGTGCAAACGGATGTCAGATGTGATGAATAAGATTCAGGGCCCTGTAAGAGTGTAGTGGTTTTTGCTGGGATAGAATTAAATTTCTCCATAGTAGCTTGTATGGGGTTATGTTTTGGATCTGTGATGAAAACAGTGTTGATAACAAAGGGATGTTTTAGTTATTGCTAAGCAGCACTTACACAAAGCCAAGGCCTCCTCACACTGCCCCTCCAGCAAGGAGGCTGGGGGTGCACAAGAAGTTGGGAGGGAACACACAGTTGGGATCCAGACACCAGGGGGAACAAATAATTTTTCCATTCAATGTATCCCAAGCCTTCATGAAATGAAATGCATGACAGCTAATCTACTGTCTCTCATTTATTGCGTTGTCTGAATAGCCTTAAACACCATAAATGCAAATTACAACCTTCAAAGTGACTGAAGGTTAAGAAAGAGAGGGAAAACACAGAATGTAATGCTTATACAGATGCAATCAGCACAGTACCACTAACTACCCACCTTCTGGTTTATTTTTTGGATAAAATTCCTGCTTTCAGATGGATCCTCTTTTAATAAGGTTTTAAAGATTGTGTAGCCAAATATGTCAATGGACCAAAAAGTAGGATCAAAAGATTTCCATGGAGATCAAAACTGTGTAGGATCAGATGTAAGTCAATACTTGTAGCCTCTAGTGGAAACATATAAGATAGGAAAGTCAAAGGATGTGAAGGGAAGCTTGATAAAATACATGGAATATCAGCATGAACTGAGGACCCACTTCCTCTGAGTTCCTATAAAAATTCAAGCTATAAATCAGTGCACATCTCATACAGATACATAGAATTACAGCCATCCAGTCATCCTAGATATTACTGTAATTCTAGCCAAACAATATCAGGAGATTACAACATCAGGAGCATCTTCCTATGAGTCACTGTAGAAAAATCCTGCCCTTTCAACCAATTACTCTTATATATGAAAGCAAAGTAATAATTAAATAAAGTTCTTCAGATCCACAAATAAAACCACACATTCCCATCAATCTCAGAAACTGCACCCAAACAATTATGAAGGTGTCATTCAGGGATTCTTCAAGGAAACAATGCCCAAAAGAGAGAGTGAGATATATTGCTATCCACCTCTGAAAAAGTATTGCTTGGTTTAAATCACTTCAGACTGAATTTACAATGTCATTCACTCAGCAATTCAGTGAAATTACACATACATGAAATTCTCAAAAGCATTTTGTGCCATCTGTTTGGGATACTTAGTGTGAACATATTTGGGGGGTGAAGTTAGTAATTATAGGGGGAGGAAATTAACATATTGGACTAATTAACAGCATGTTCTGGAAAAGAGACAAGGAAGATAACCAATTACAAAACTTTAACGTTTACTGTTCTCCCAGCTATAAATAAAGATTTTTCAATATGGCTCTCCTTGGGGGTTTCTTGTTGATTTTTTTCCCCTCTAAAAGATGCTATGTGCACTGTGTCAAAGAATGTGAGCCAGAGAAAAGACTCAGTCATTGCAGACTCTATGGTCTGGTTCTATACATCCATGCTGCTGAATGGAGCACACCAATGTTTCAGTGTGATACATCCCTACTGTTGTGAGGGTTCAAAATGAAGGATGCATGAAGCTCACCTAATTTTAGGCATCAAAAAATTAGACTAGACTTAGTCACAGGAGCTTGTTATTCTTGGATCCCTTTAAAGAAAAAGCATTTAATTTCTGCTGCATTTTAGATCCTAATTTAGGATGAAACCATGCGTTGGACTTTAACTGACCAACTAAAACTTTATTGACTATGAAGAGGAGATCACTATACTGCAGACCTTCATTTTTAATGAGAACACTCATAGCTGAATAGTCCAGATCATTTTGAAGATCCTGCAAGTGTCATGGAAGACAAAAGGAATATGTAGTGGTTAGAAGCACCACGCTGATAAAAGTACATTGGCCCATGCTAAGAAAATGCTTTGTCCTTAATATGTCACAAAGTTCACTTCTTGCTTATGCCTAATTCTGGACTTATGCCCAACTGGCCTGAAGATGAAGCTGTTTAGGATTTTCCTATATGTATAAGCCCATGCTCAAAGTAAAGTGCAGGTTTACAGGATTTTGAAGCATGCTGCATTAAGGGCTACAGTCACAAGCATCATGGGAAGGTAAAATCTGCATGTTGGATTGTCTCTATATAGCAAGTTTCTTTAGTTTCAGAGAAGTGCTTTACCTTTTTGATCAGTGATACCTTACAATGACAGTGCAACAGAAGAGAGGCTTCTGTGACTTCTCTTTTCCCTTTTTATATTAAAATGCTATTACAGTAGTTGCACTCAGCCTGAGAAGATATCCTGTGTTCATGCATCATGCACATAGTCCAGAAAATTTATTTTTTGTCAATAATTGAGCAGTAAATTTTTTGCCAACTTCTAAGACAGCCTGGTGTGAAATTTGTGTTTTTTGTTTTTTTTGTTTTTTTTTTTTTTTTTTTTTGCAATAGAAGCTCTGGACAATGAAAAATACATTATGAATTAATGACAAGTTTTACAATAATATGCACAAAAATATTCAAAAGGCAAAGAACACCTGAAAGAAAGGTCCAAAATGATGGAAGGTTTCACAAAACCAAATCTATCTTTCCTTTGTTTCCAGCTACAGAATGGAATAGTTGGTCATTAAAATTTATACAAGCAAATATGCTACAAGAGGCAGAGTTGCTCCCAGGAATACAATGGCAGAGCTCAGGCTGGATTCATAATACAGGTCAACACACCTATTTATATGCAAATTAAGAGGCAGTTAAAGCAACACAACTTTCAGACTTCAGTCTGATCAGATTACCTAGATCAGCTTATTGTCCTTAAGGAATTGATACAGTCATAGTAAAACATAATTGATTTGATACAGAAAGATTTTTTTATTCCTTGAACCTCGTTTCCTTTGTCATTTCTCAGGGCTGGAGAACTGGCTGAATGAAAATATATACACTATTAGAATATATGTTGAACTCCTCCCTCCATGACGGTTCAGCAAGGGGAAAGAGAAGTGAAGGGAAAAGAAATAAAATTCCTTTTTCCCCCAGTAGAATCACTCATTGAAACAGCGCCCCCCCCCCACCGTCACACAGCAGAGGAGTGGCTCTGAGTGTACTTCTCCCACTTCTGAAGAAAGCTGGATCCAGTTTCACATCTCTTACAATATCATTTTTGTGCTAGTGCATTTTAGTTAAGAATCAATCATAAGAATCAGTGCTTTGTCCTACTTTCAAAAATTGCTATGAGTAAAGCAAAGGCACCATACTGACCCTCGTCCTTCCTGCTGTCTGCCCTTAGCCTTCCAGAAAGTGTGAGATATTTCCTTTATGCCACTTCCAGGGCCCATAAGTGCCTCTACCCTACCTCTCTGTCAGAAGAGCCTTATGTCCTCACCTAAAACATTGGAGTCAGGTTTTGGAGACTGGGTGGGATCAAGAAACAGAAATGGTAAAGCTTCATGGTTAAACATATGTACCATGTTCTGATTTGAAGAACTGGTGCTTTTCACTGTAAATACTCTATTGATCTGGCTGAAATGATCCAAGGTTCATCCCTAGCTTATATGAGCTGTCAATCCGATCAGAGCACCCCAGTTTCCTCAGTGAATGCCACACAAGGGCTGGATTTTACTGGCACATCCACCGGTCTTCACCTACTCAGCCTGGATGTCCCATGCTGCACTTGAAAAATGCAGACAGCCTTTGGCAACAAGTCTGGACCGGTCTGGATACAGACTCTTTAACTGTATTAACCTTCAACTATCATATCAGTCAGTATGTATAGTCAGTTTAACAGATTAAATTATGGGCTGTCATTACCAGTTGAGCTGAAGGTCTTTCCAGGTGTGCCAAATTCAAAGTTTTCTTTCCATGTTACACCACCGTACATTGTTGCCAATGAAAACCCAAGGCTGGAGGCACTATGTTTATCTCAGGAGGCAAAGATGTCCCTGGAACAAGGACACTTTGAAAACAGATCCTACAGTAACAAGAAGCCAACAAGAAATGGAGAAATAAATACCTGTGACATTGGTGCGGGCTGACAAAGCTTCACAGTACTTTTCCAGCAGAACAGACAAGGGCAGGTTCACAGAAGATTCACAGTGGAGGACTATCTGAATGAAATGACAGAAACAAACCAAACCAAACAGTAAAGAAGCAGCACAGAATAGATTTTCTTATTCATGAGTACGATAATCCCTAGCATTTTCATAGCAATTCCCATTCATAATTGGTTCAGATACAGACATCCCCTCCTGACAGAAAAGATTTACAGTTATATTTTCTTAGCACCATGACATCAAGTGGCATTCATCTGTCTAAATGCAGGCATCTACAAATGAACCACCTATTCTAGATCTCTTCCTCTGGGAACTAGTCAATAGCATTAACAAAGCTCAGGACACAATTTATTCCACCCAGAAGTAGATACCTAAAATAGAGAAGATTAATCACATCCATTAAAGATAATGTGTGGAATTTGTTTGACTAACTTTTAGTGGTTACATGGGTGCTGAAGATCCTTACACATTCAAGAGAGACAGCAATTAGCAAAGGGCAATTCAGAAGACTTGAGTAAAGTGCTTCCACTGATTGTACAGGAAAAGTTGGCATCCCTGTAAGGTGATCCTTGGCTCTTTTTAGCCAGTAAAAAAGACACGTGTTTCTGACCCTCAGAATCCAGTGCTGAACCCTCCACTGAGAGCAAATGCTCGTGACAAAGAGAACAGCAACATCAACATGGGCACATCAAGAAAGCTGCAGGTTTGGTACAGGATACTAGTACTTCCCCAAGTAAATTTTAGGAAATATATATTTAGAGTTGAATCCAATGAATATTGTAATTTTCACACTCAAAAAGTAAATTACTGCAGCGCCCACTGCAGGCAGAGAAGAGGAGCCCACAGAACTCTACATCTCAATGTACAACTGAGTTGGGAAACTGCTTGGAGCAAGAGAAACTCTTGAAAAGCCCTTTAAGAAAGTCAGAACTAAATGTGGTGAGAAAATTCAGGAGTGATACATCAATGACAGAAACTTCCATTTTCAAACTATGACACAAATTCTTCCTGACAATTTCTGAGGGGATATAAAGCTGTGGTAACACACAAAATGACTTTGTTTTTCTATTTACGCAGAATGAAACAACCATACTCCTTGAATGTTGACGTTACAATTCAGTGCTTGGAGATGTGTTAAGTGATTTCAGAACCCTTTTTATGTCACTGAATTCCTTGTCACTTAAGAAGTGGAGTAAATGATCATGACAATGGAATTCATCAGAAATGATGGTTCCTTGTACAATACAATTTCTAACTATTTCTCACTTTGCTGTTATTTAATAGGAAGTCTTGAAATACAAACACAAAGCCTTCCTCAGACTCCATTCTTTTCAAATAAACACCATGAAGCTGCTTCCTCACATGGCTGAGCCTTCCAGGGTACTGACCATGGCACGGTCAGGTCAAGGAGATAAAGGAAGGCAATGGCTCTGTTCTGCAGCCAGGGCAGATGCCATCTTACAAGGCACAGAACTCCAGCTGAGCCTGCCGGAAAGTAGACTCTGTAGTGGTCATGCCTCATGTCAGACCCAGTCACGTGAGTTGACGTAGCAAAGGCATTTCTTCCCTTCTCTCCCTCCACCCCTCTGCTACCTCACAGGCCAAAGCTCTGTCTCACTTCAAAGAAGAAACTCGAGACATCTCCATGTACAGTAAATACACTGCATGTTCAGCTGTCTGCTTTGTAAGATGCTGGGAAAGAACAGACAGAGGTCAAGCTGAGCACAGCATGTGTAGGAACAAGAAAGGTTAAATGTCACATTTGCTTTAGGGTCATTTTAGGTTCATTTGGCTAGAGGGAAAAGTGCCTTCCACGTATTATGTTACTTTTGCTTTCATTTTCCCTCCACTAACCACAGCGAACAGCTTACTTGTATGTGATACTTTTTAAAAATTGTATTTAATGCACACAAACCCAAAAAGCCTAAAAAACCCTCTTAAAAATAATAAAGAGCAGTGAAAAAATAAACTTTTAAGTAAAGTAGAATTTTAAAGATAAATAATTGGGCCTGTGACTGTGTATATATTTTGACATATTAGTTGCTTTAAGTAACTAATGTACTACTTTACTCAAACTGCATTTCTCTTAAGACAGCTACTATTCCATGACCTCTTCCCACCAAATCAGTTCTACGTTGTCTTGCACATTTACCTGAAACATGCACAGAAATCTCTACCATAATTTCTCTTAGCCACTGTGGACATTTATGATCAATTAAAAATACTGCACTGAGACAGAGATTAAGGTGAAAAGGAGTCCTTTACTTTCTAAAGCAGAGGCACCAACTAATAGTCTGCAGGCCTGTCCTGACTCTTCAGAACAATATATGGAGCCTTTGGTCAACTTCCAGTTCACATCTGAGAGGACATTGAGAAAAGAAGCAGATTAATTGTTTTAGTGTGTCAGCCTGCATTTCTCATGGTCATTTCAATTAGAACTTTCCCCTTGGCCATGATCACTGGTCTTCATTAATCCATGAAAGGTCATCTCTGTCAGAAGACATGCAACTACTAGGCACAGTCAGAGGAACTCACCGTAAGATCACCTCTAGATATGGGAAGGGCAGATGGAAAGGGCAACAACCTAAGAGAGAGTAACATATTGCTACATTACATAGTTAGAAGTTAAAAGGCACTAATAGTATTGTGTGCTCCTCTGCAAATGGAAGGGCTCCAATCTTGCAAACATTCATCTATGCAGAATTTGCTCTTTGCCACACAAGTACTCTCATAAATTACTAACCTGAAATCATAAAAAACACATATGCAACATTATATGATACATGTAACATGTCTCAATGGATCCACATGGAGACCTCTGGGCACAGACAAATATCTGACCCGCACAGACAAATATCTGAGCCATCATTCTGTTGTCTCTCTCAGTTCCTACCAGAATCTGTGTTTATTTCATGCAGATTAGGGAGGACTTGTAGTTCAATTTTAAAACTAACTGAGTACTGGCTTGAAAGATTATTGAGTTCCACTGAGTAGCGATATATATATATGTAAAACAAATGAACACTGGTACTATGACTCACCTGCATTAGAGAGGTTGTTTTCTTCTCTCAAACATGTAAGAAATGGCTACAGTAATATAAACAAGACTCCAAATCAATGAGTAGGATCCAAAACTGCCACTATAGGCACGGTGCTGGCACAGAGATACAATGGACAGAATCTTGTAAGTTTAAATATCTAGCAATAAGAAGCAACAGAGCAGATGAAATCAGCATGGTTGAAAACTGAAGGAAAGAGTTGATGTGGAAAAGGATGACACATGACTAACATTTGTGGCCAAGTTGGGGGAGGTGAGCTTGGAGGCAGTGAATGCTGCCAAACATGGACAGATGCACACACTTCACTTTCCCATCCTCACATAAGAATTCCCAGATACCATATTCTAGTTGTCTAATAAAAGCAGGTTTTTTTCAAAAAAGCTGTTATGCCTCCCTGTAAAACATCCGCTGGTGGCATGCTGAACCAAAGCAGAGGTGCTGACATCCAAGACATAGTCTCAAAGTAACAGCGCAAACATTCTCCCTTTTAAAAAAACGTACTATCCAGTACTTATGAGGTCCTAGAAAAATTCATCCCATGGAACTATAACAGCATCTCATCATAAAGCCACTCACAGAAAAGCAGTGGAATTTATCTCAACTGGCTCAGACTTCAAAATAGAGAGAGCAACCGCTGAGCTGATCACTTGGGGATTCCTCTGCGACTCAGGAAGAGAATTTTTCAGGTGCAGTTCATCTGCTATATTTTAAATCTTTAAGTTGAAATCAATCATTCCCTGACCTCCACTGACTGCATTAGCTGTGTCTTACCCACTATAAGGACAGAGTTACTTAGATGAATCCTTTCTAAATTTTCTTTGGACACTATCTTTGTACAAAAGGATAGGTAAAAACATTCTTAGAGGTGATGACTACAGAGGAGAGGAACACATCACCATCTTATAAAATTATCTGGAGTACTACTGTTTTCTTTCTTTTACTGAGCAAGATGAAGTGACCTTCTACCACAAAACAATTTTGTAGTTATCAACCACAAAACGTGTGCGCAATCCACAGCTGACACGAGAAGGATCCATCTCATGTCTCCACTGCAATGTAAGGATGAAGTCTCCGTCTAAACTAGCCATCTGTGCTCCTTAAAAAGTCAGAGCACCTTCCTCTCCTGAGTAGACAGCTGTGGTAATGGCATGGATCACGTTAGGAGGAACCTTATTTCTACTCTTAATTTTTGTGAGGCATTACTGCTGTTAAGGATCCTGCTGCACATCCTTCCAGGGGTTTCTGGAAAAAACCTGGGAGTCCTAAGGCCTTAAATTATACCTCACTTCAACGCCAACAGTGAAGTGAAATTGCCTTCAGCACAAAGAAAGCTGCTACTTTGTAGTTTTGCCCCAGAACTAAGGGGAAAAAAAAAAAAAAAAAAAAAAAAAAAAAAAAAAAAAAAATGAAAGCTGTATTTAACTTTTAGTTCTTCAATTAGACAATTCAAATAAATTAATTTCAAAAATACTCCTGTCTCAAAGGTAAACTTATTAAGTTAAGTTCTCCAAATGCATCATTTCTACAATGAGACTGAGTGTTCAACAGAACATTTGGGAAGGACTGTCTCAGAGCATCAGTCCAATTAAATGCAAAAACCGTTAGCTTGTGTCCACAGAAACTCAGTTTAGGGAAACACGTGCATCTTACTTCACCATGAAAATGCAATTAGTGAAAGAGCTCGATGCAGTAAAATCAAATCAAATCCCACATTTCCTTGACAAAACCCGTACCCTGTTCGAATACAGCGAGGGAGTTTCCAGGGCAGGCGGGCATCTGGCAAGTTTTACACGGGTTCCTGCCGTCACCGGTACTTGTGTGTGAAAACAGATGCTTTGGGAAAAACACCAGGTATACAGTGGAATGCACTTATAACAAATGCAAACATTCATCTGAGCACCTCTTTCTCTCTAACAAGATTCTCTCCAATACATTGGAGATAATGAGGACAGCTGGAATATTTGTTGACTACTAATCACCTGAGGGAATATGCAC